TCCATTACCTTCTTCAAATGTTCCTTTTTCTTCATGGCAGTCTTTGTATCTCATTCTCAGTTCAGCTGACAGGACCAAGGTTGCTGTCTACTTTTTTGGTAGAAATAATGGCTAGTGGAAAAGAGAAGGAATGGTGCTGGAGTATAAAGCCACTGATAAGATTCTATACTTCCAGCTGATAAGCCCTAGTTACTGGATGGGGAAATCTACCAAAGAGCTCTTGATAACAGCACTTTAAATAGCACTGGAATAACAACATGTAAATGGCTCTGAAACTGTCACTGAGTTGGGGTTGCCTGGTTGTGTCCCTTGTCCCTTCAGACTGACAAGTTCCACAAGGCAGGCCCACATGAGAAAGGGTTCCTGTTTCTCTGGCAGAGACCTCAGGGGTTTCCTCACACCTGCCTGCAGCCACAGCATAGTACTATGGAAAGAGGATGGAGTAATTAATAATTGATAAGATATCCACATGCATATGGGAGTTTAAATATAAAATTGACAATATTTATTAAAACACACCTAAATTAATGTTTGTAAAGACTAATGTTCCAGGTGTGTGTAGTAACATGAAGTAATAAAATCAAGTCCACCGGTACTTCTACAAATCAAGCCTTAATTTTACTCTTTTAAGTAACATAAAAAGAGTTTAAAAGTATTTCATTGTGTAAATAGTTCATCAGGATGCATTGGGACTAAATCTTTTCCTGTGAGCAACAGACAGATGCTTCTCCCCTGCATTTTAGTGGGTGTTTAATGCTGGACTATCTCTTATGATAACTCATTTTTTCTCTTTAGTGAGAGAAAGGGTTGGCTTTCTGAACCATCAGAGCAACTGGCCCCTAGGAAGGAAAGAAAGCAAGCTAATGTATTAAGTGAATGGTAGAATCTAGCAAATTGTATCAACTAGAAATCCCTTTTTAAAATTCTCATTACTCAAGAGTCTGGCAGAGCCATATCTAGCTAAGTGGTTTCTGTTCCCTACAAAGGCTGAAAGTGTGGTTTTTGGAGAAGAAATGTCACAACTGAAGCAGGTATTCTGCTTAAGGGCTGGCTTCAAATGGGCCTCAGAGTGCTGGGGAACAGTCTGGACAAGCTGAGGAGGGACAATTCATTCTGCAAGAACCATCAGAATTGACTTGGGAGTCCCAGCTCTCTGTCAGTCTTACTTAACTGGCAGTACCAAGAGTTTTATCTAGTTCACACTAAACAAAATGGGAAAGCAGCAAAGGACAGTATAGGAAAGAAAACTTGATAGTGAATACATTTTCAGTTAATGTATCTGAGAAATAGATTTTAAGACATTTTTTCTTCTTATTGCATATGTGGTAGGAAAATCAATTAGGATGGGACAACATTGATAAGTATCTCAAGCATTTTAACAGCATAAAAATGGAAATAATGCATCACACCTACAGGATTTCTTTGAGGGAATAAATAGATGTAGCTATTGGAATCCTTTTTGGCATGCTATATTTCAATGTTTATTTATTTAAACCATTACAGAAAGTGAGATAATTCCATCTTTGACACTGTATATTGTTTTTCTAATTAGTAGAATAAGTGAGTGAAATCTTTTTCTGTCAGAATGCAGGTATTTCTGTTCTGAAAAACTGCTAGAACATTGTCCATGAAACTTTCATTGATCTATCCATGGTGGAGAGTCTCCTTGTACAGAACGATTTCAGCACCACATCCACAGAGTTAACTGTGTGTCTGATCTCTTGATGCCCTTCTTGAACAGATAATTTTAAAACTTTACCCATTTCTTGTCCTAGAGCTGGAATCTATGTACTTTTCCCTCACAAAGAGAGTGAATTGTAGAATTTTTCAAATAAACAGCTTTGCCAGCCTGAATTCTGTTGAACATCTTTTGTTATGAACGAAAATTCAGTTGATTTTCTTCTGTGAGAAAAAGGTTACCACTACTGCTGGGCTGCTGCCTGCCTGCGTTATGGTATTTAATGGTTGTTTTTGTATCGGTAAAAGCCCTGGCCGGGGCGAGTTAATAGCTCTTCTCTCAGACAGTAAAGGGTGTGGTACCTCCCGAACAGTGAGGAGAAGAGACTTTGGAGGGGAGGGATATGCAAAATAACTCTAAGGACCAGCATGCTGTGTGGGACCCCTACTCCAAACGTGCAGGAAGAACCCCAAAAACAATGAGCCAAATAAGCGCTGAGAGACTGAAGTGATGTCTGGACGTGAGGAGCCGAGTGCTGAGCCTGCAGAGATGCAGAACAGCTTCGGAGCCCCTCTCGCCCTGACCACGGGAGTCGTCCCCAGAGCTGAGAGCGGGTGGACGGGGCCGCGAAAAGTAACAGCGAAGGATCGTCACGCCCTAATGGCTCCCACGAGGACCTGATCCCCAGCTCTGCCCGTGGTGGACAAAGCTGCGCTTATCCTCCTTCTCTGGGTCCTCCTGGGAGAGACGACAGGAGACTGCAGCCCTGCCGAGCTGCCCAGTCCTGAGCTGATCACTTTTAATAAAGGCATTAAAAAGGGGGAAGTCTCCTGGCTCTGTTTATTTCATCTTTGGCTTTCATTCCTAGAGGGAAGACAACAAATTTAGCCAGTAGCTTATTATGTGTTTACTCATCTCACAGAAAGTCTTTGAGAGGACAACAGTATATCATGTTTTCTTCCAGGGATATGGCTCTTAGTCACAACTTCCTCTCAGTTCTTGGAAGAGATGTAGATTATCTGGTACCTAGGTTAAATCGTGTTCATCTCATTTCAGGAATTTTCTTTATCAGGCCTCTTCAGAAGGTATGATTAAAGTGTACTGTCTTCATTGAAAAGAGCTTGCAAAGGCCGGATGTTTACAGAGTACCCCCACTTAAAATCTCTCCCTGCCTTCTCTTGGCTAATTTTTATTTCTATGGAAGTCTCATACATCATGCCAAGAATATACAGCTATAAATATTCCTTCAATGTTTCTCTATTGCAAGTTGTAGTGTACAATTGAAGTGCCTGATGTCAAGAACTGAATCTGAGTCTACGTGGGAGACATGATGCAAGACTCTTTGAAATAACCAGTGAACAAAACCCCATCAAATTTAGTACTTTGAGAGTCTTTAGGGACTTTTTCACAAGGTCCACTTAGATTTAACTATGGGGTTGTTTTTGTTTTTGTTTTTTTTTTTTTAGTAATTGAATGTGGATTTTACTGGCACATAGGCAGAGAAGAGGTAGGCATTATTGTCAGGCTGTGAAAATACAGTTTGTCCTGTGCCTGGGGACTGCATGGGGCTCCTCCTCCTCAGTGAGCTCCAGTCTCCAATCCATCACACACATACCTGCCCATGCTTCCACCAGGGGCATAAAGTCAGGGAGAGGAGTATGGGATATGTTCCTACTTGCCTTCTCTTTGTATGTCCTCTGGGGACTTCAGTACCAAGTACAGATGGAAAGCAGCAGGCAGCTGTAGCTCTATGAGGGGATGCACCTCTCTTCTATTTGCAGAAGAGGTTCCTTTTATCTGGGTCAATACACTGCTGTATTGAAGTGCTTGTAGCCTGCAATGGGCTGACCTTGGCCAGCTGCTAGGCACCCTGTGCAGCCTCTCTGCCCTCCTCAACTGCACAGGAGGAAAAAACACAATGAAAAAGCTCATGGGTCAAGATAAAGAGAGGGAGATCACAAAGCCAATGTATCATTCAGCTATGTTCAGTTCTGATACCCTTTGTCAGCAAAATGACATTTCTGTCATGAGGGCAAGAAAGCAGATGAAAAAAATGAACGCATACTACAGCCCCAGGGGTTCCCAAACTATTTGCATTGTAGAAAACGAAGTATGAATTTGTTATGCCTGTAGAAAACAGATCTGGTGCCTTAATGTTGGCCTGAGCTGCTCAGCAGCACTTAACACCACATCAGCTAAAGAAGGAAATGTATTGTCTACTAGAGGAGAGTTTTGTTTTACTTATTCTATTGAAAATACAGAAGACAAGTATGAAAATGAGAAAACAAGTGTCCCTCATACCAATCTCAATTTGGCTGTTATTCAGATTTTCCCTCTGGAATCTCTGTGGAGGCTTGGGGGATAGCTTAAGAAATGCTGCCTCCTGGGAGCTGGTTTGCAAAACAGAGTTTGGGGCTGTATTTAGCCACAGGGACCAAGAAGTCAACTTCATGTCACTTTGCTTCCTATATTCTGTCATTTGGAGTCAAACTAATAAATGGGCTACCAGTTCACTATTTTTTTTACCCTGGCTTTCTTGCCGGGGAGATTTCCTTTTGAGATAGACCATTCTCCTCCTTATATTTTTTTCTGCAGAACTTATTTCCTGGTTCTTAGCTTGCCCCAATAATGCAATTTCTGGCTTATGTGAGATATATCTGTGATAACTTGTGGTTCTGCTTTCCCCATTCTTTGAGATAGAGATATAAAAAGCAAATGCAGCAAATTACTCCTTCTCCTTTGCTGAGATTGTCCTCCCTTTCCAAACTCTTGCTGTGAATTATTTACCATGAGCCATATTCACTGTGCACAGACCTTATACATCTTATCTCCTTATCTCTGGTTCTTAGCTTTTCATACATTATGACTGACTGAGCGGACATGAGAGCACTTATGTTTTCCTGGATGCAGGAGCCTAGATGAGGTGACTCAGCCCCATCTCAGGGCAAGCATGGGGCAATGTTTGCTTTGCTCCTTCCTCTGGCCCAGTGGCAGCCAGGAAGGGCTCAGGCTTGTGGTACAGAGTGAGCTGTGGCATGCTCTGGGCAGGGTGCACACCTAGCTATGTGTCCCTGCAGCTGAGGCAAACCATTGCCAGCAGACTTGATGTAGCTGCAGAGCCATAGCAAGGCAATATTACTAATATAAATGACAGATCCTGCATTTAGAGTGGAGGTTTTTCATAACTTTTGCTTTTTCAAAGTACCTTTCCTGTCTGCTCTTTATCAGTTTTGGTGTTTCTGCTGTCATAAGTCTCAAATTGGAAATATATTAGTTGTAACAGCTCAGTGAATCATTCTTTTTCTTATGTTTCTTTTTGCAGATGTCCTAGTAGCTGAAATTGAGAAAAAGATTACAGAAACTTTTGAGGTGTTTGACCGTGAATCCAATAAATCTGTGGATGTCAGGTTTGTACACATATTCACAAATATATTACAGAATCTCAATAGAGATAAACAGCTCCTAAACTGGCATCTGCTTTACCAGAAAATGTAATAGAAACAGTTTTTTTGGCCCTGTTTGGACAAGTATGTTTGTAGTGGGTGGATGGATGCCTAAAAATTCCTGGATGTTTTTAATTCTGATATTTTTAAAGTTTGAATATCTCACAGTGCTACTTGAACTTAATTTTAATATAAACACTCATACTTGTATAACTTATGTTATAAAATGCATAAACCACATGTTTATGTCTCAGGGAGCTGGTTCTGATGTTATAAGCTGTTGTCATGAAAGTTTACTGGAGTAGTTTTTCATATTTACAATTATTATTTTCAAAAGAATATCCTTTTAATTATAAATCAGTTATTGATTAGACATGCTACAATGGAGCATTTCTCAGTGGGAACTGGTGAAATTGTTGTCATTAGACATTCTGCATGAAGACAAATTGAGAAACATATTTAAATGTTCCAAATAGCTTTTCTACATTACAGAGAGGAAAGGGAAGTGCAAAATATTTATGCGATGGTTGTAGCAATGCATGCTTACTAATGACTTGAAATTTAAGAAATTGCAGATGTTTCATAGAAGTGATGGTTTTTCAGCTGTACCCGATGGGGAGAATATCAGGATATGTCTCCATGCTCAGTAGAGTTGCTGTTCCCTTGTGTGTGGGGCTCTGTAGGGAGAGTGGTCTCTTAAATCCCCTGGTCCATGCCCAGGGAGGAGCCTGGTGCTCGGGGCTGTCCCGGTGCCCCCTGGTGCCTGCTCCTGGCTGGGCTGTAGGATGGGCCTGGCTGCCCAGGCTGGGGCAGAGCCCCACCAGTTCCACCCCCAGCCCTCCCTGCACCATGGCATGCTCACTGCTTGTTTGTTTGCCAGGTACATCTGCAGTCTTGGCTAAACAGCTCTAGAACTTTCTCCACTTCTCACTCCGTTATATATGGATATACAGCTTGGGAGCATGTTACAACAATTAAATGATACAAGTAGACTCTTTTAAAAATGTGTTCATTCATACAGGGGGCATCCAATAGACATCCAGTCCATTTAATGTACTAAATGCACAATTTCGCATTAATTTTTTCGTAGTACAGATACAGACAATGAACAAAAACTTATTGTCTAATTATTTCCACGTTCATATTGCAGGGCTGTATCACAAATGGGATTATTAATGGCTTATTATCTTGTATCAGAAGGTGGCAGCACAGCACAATTCTTAACTGCAATTGTAGCTGTATCAGGATTAATGCCTGAAATATCAGATATCCATGAAGAATGAAAAATTATACTGGTTTGACAGGCCAACATTGGTATTCCATGACTCCTAGTAGAAATTAGGCATGAGGAAGATGGTATTTTTTCATGCATATTTCATGTCCCTCAGTCAAGGACTTTTGTGATATTGCAAATCTCGTCATTGAAAGTGTTATATGCAAGGTGAAAACCATGACCCAAAATTTTCATTGCATCTGTTTACAAAACTTGTATGATCATAACCTTGATTTTAACGATCATTTTTGTAATCTAGTAACTACACAGCAGAAACTGCAGCTGCTGAACTAAGTGAGAGGAAGGGACTTGGAGCAAAATAGTTTCCTATCAGGTCCTTTAAACTCCACCTTATTACCAAATGGGTCCTGACATTTTTTACCAGAAGCACTTCAAGCAACATCCTTGTGCTGGCATGCAGGCAGAGTGCCAGATAGAGCATCCAGCAGTGCCAGATTTTGCAGACTCTTCTAGGGTCTGACTTACCTCAGTCACATCACAGTTCTGCTGGGTGTGAGTGAAGTGAGGCAGGAGGATGATGGCAGCATTCCCATCCCTGGCAGTCTGTGAGAGCAGAAATAGTGTGGGACAACAAGGAGGCAGGATTTGTGTTGGACTTGGCTCTGGTGGAGGCAGGGAATAGTTACGAGTAGCTGGAAAATATGAGGGAGTGCCGGAGTGAGAACAACAAATTCAATATTATACACACCAGAAGTAGGATGCATGGACAAGGATTATGTCTCAGTGAGTGACCTCCCTGAGGCCATTGGCCATTCACACCCACAGGGGCAGGGGCATTTGAGTAGATGGTTTCATTTCAGAGCACATGGATGTGTGGGATTGGGTTTTGCTCTGTAGCTAGTTTTATGCAGCCAGCCTTTTTACCTCTTTTGTCTGTTGTAGTGCTTCTCACATGTTTTCAGTCAGATTGGGAACTCCTTGGGACCTGAGGAGGTCATAGACTTATACATATAATTTTGCATATGCTTGGTGTGCTGCATTCAGGGTCTTACTGTTATAAGAACATTTTACAAAGATCATTCCTCCTGGTATCCACCATTTTTATTGGGCAATCTGATTTTTGCACAAATTGGAAAAATTTCCCACTGGTCAAGGGGAAGGAACCACAGAGGTTTGGATCATGGGAACCACCAGTACTGTGAATAGATATTCAAATGTGCTTATATTTCTGTGTTGTTGAATTGAATTGTAAATCATAAACTATATTAATGCTTCTGTTATTTTGTTTTTAATCATACCATAATTAAAGCTTTATTACAGCCTTACAATAATTTTGTTTGTAGTCTGTGACATTGTTCATCTTAGACTTTGTTCATCTTTAAGGTATTGCTAGTTTGGTCAGAATTTTATTTAGAGCCTCAGAACAGCTGCACCAGGTTGAGCAGTAAATGCAAGCTGTGAATATATTCACAGCATAAACAGAGTGGTCATAAGCCATTTTGTTGCTCTGTTTGACTCTCTGAGAGTGCAGCATGGACATAGCAGGGCTGCCTTCTTCCTCACCTTTTGTAATTGTTCTTTAATGCAGTTAGAACTTGTAGCTTTATAGCATTTAATGGAAGTATGTGTTTTATTTGTTACTTTGCATTTCAGTTGATTCCAAGTGATTTGTTAACTACATCTATATAGACTTTACTGAAAATAAGCATTACAGTTAGAGAGCAGCAATGTAAAAGTAACTTGCACACAGTACAGTGCAACACAATAGTAAAGATTATTTTTGGGAAATTGAAAGAACAATTTCAAGGAGCTTCAGAATATTTTATGTCTGAAAAAGTAGACATTGCTTATTGAGACATCATCTTAAAATTCCACATAGATTTTCTTGTGTGCTTTTATGTGCACACTCCTGTATGCAATCTCTGAATTGGTATCTGTATTGTCAACAGTCTTGTGTTGCAGACTTATTAACAAAGATCTTTCTTTCTTTCTTT